TGTTCGTGCTATTCTCACAACGGATAAAATACCGATCTGCTGTAGTAAAAGTCAACAATAGTATAGGCAGGAAACAGTTTAAAAGAATCCAAACATTTACGCGCTTTCGTAATATCGGTCGATAACTTTTTCGGCCAGATCTATATTAGTTCTGTTGGACAGGGTAATCTATTAAATACTTAGGTAAACTTGCTTATGTGCATATATGTTATGATTGTGTCATTAACGTTGTTCTATACGATAGGTGTTAGCCGTGATGGAAGCAGCGAGTGCATCAACGTCGGTTTCCGATATTCGTCACTTTATTGAACCGGCTAATACACTGAAGAACTTGGAGTCAAAGCAGTTATTATTCTTGGGCAGTGCACTGTGTCTGGTTGGGGTAATGTGGCTTGCAGTGGCCATTGCACTTTACGGTGTCGCAACGGATTATCATACGAGCGTTCTGTACGAAGCGCGGTGGCTTCTTTCAACAGTTCTACTTTCTGGGGTGTTGTGCTTCCTGTTGGCATGTCTGAAACTTGAGGCCATGTACATCAGCTGTGCAATCACGGCTTTGTATAGTTGCGCCAGCACGGTCGTCGTTCTTCTGGTGTACTCGATAAACATACACCGCACGTTAAACGTGCAACATTTGCCAACGTTGCCAGGAAGTATCAAAGGGCAGACTATGAAACTACAGTACGTAAAACTGTGTGCAAGCATGGCCGTGATTTGCATTTTTGGACTTCTCCTAACCATTCTGTTATTATGGAGAATGTACAATGTTTCACAATGGCACTTCGCTTACGTAACCATACAACGCTCATTAAGTAGGTATTTCATCTCTTCTGGGATGGTCCAGTTTGCGCTTGGACTTTTCAGCATCTACGTAGCTTCGCAAATAATATCCCTGCGTTTCTCGTACGTCCACACATACATGATCCAGGAGCTGTTCTGTTCCCTAATTTTGATTACTGTGACCTCAATGCAAATTTTCCTTATATTCAGACCAAATCGAATTCTTCTGAAAGTTTTGCTGTTCATGTACATTTGCCAGTTTGTTCAAGAAACATTCTACACGTGGAATTCATATTATATTTCACTTTACATTCACTCCAGCAAGGTGAAGATCGCGATTAATCTAGACTACGACCAAGTTATCATGACTTTAAATTTCACTGTTCACTTTATCCGATCAGTCATTTGCGTCTATTCAGCTCATCGAATTCTAGCCGTTCTGCAAATATCCTTCGAATGGCTGCTGTTTAGGATTCACCGTAGCAAAATGCTTCAGAAAATTTTAGCTTTCCTTGCCTGCGGCAATCTGCTGTTGTCGACGGCACATGTATTGATGGACATCATTTACACCTCTCAGATTCACATCTATCGAACTCTCATAGCGTTCACCGGCATTTCTGTGTTGTACCTAAGTTTGATTGGCGTCTGCTTGTCGGTCTACCTTCGTTACAAGCAAAATATAGCGCTTGCTCTTGCGTTCGTTTTCGTTCTTCTCTCTGCCACGGTGTCTGTGCACGCAATTTACGTCTACTTGGACACCAGCTTTAAGAAAGTGCTGCTCATGCATCTAAACACGTTGGGCAAAGATCAGTGGCAGCCGAGCATTATGCATTTCATCGAAGTGTTGCTCGCATATGTCGAGGTTATATTTTCGTTGTTCGGTGGAATCTTGCTGCTTCGACTGCTACACTTGGGAAGTCCACACGATCGCCGTGAAAGTCGTCTTGATGCTTACCTGCGTTGGTTGTGGCGCTGCGGTTGGGCGATCGCTGCTCTTACATCGACGGCGGCAATAATCAACATCACGGTTCGTGAAGAATGGCAAGCGTTCGACAACACCATAGCCTATAACGTTCTTGACATCATTTCCATGTACGTATTAGCAGTTTTGCAACTATTCGTCTCTTGCCCTGGCAACAACCATTTCTGCTTCACCCTGGCTGTACTGTTCTTCCTCCTGCTCTTCGAAACGTTCACCACCTACAATTACCTGAGTACATACACAAACTACATGCAACTGCTGATTGTGCTTAACAAGCTGTTGAGCAAAGCTTTGGCCGGTAAACGAGATAACGACATCAGCTTGGTGTTGCCACTCTCGCAGGTTGATCCGTTGATCGTCAATCACGCCATCCAGATATTCCAGTGGTTCCTGACCGTAATCAGTCTGTTGTTAGCAGCGTCTTGTCTTGAAGAATTGAAGGAACAGCGCAAACGGAGAAGCTCTGATGTGACCATGAATGCGAGCCCCGGTCTGGGCAGTATCAGCACTGTGCGTGCAGGCGATCAATCTGAGGTCAAAATTACCTACGAATCTGATGAGGACATCTTCCAAGGTTCAGCTTTTCCTTGAAGAAATACCGTTTGTTGTGAAACGATGTACGTCACGGACAATTACCGAATCCTGCATTTTGAAATTTGCAAGCAAACTATATTCAGCCATCACCATCGGCAACTTACTTCGGAACTTTGACAAAACACCTGGTCGAACTGAAGTATCTGTCACTACGTTTTCGTAAAATATCTGACTATTTAAACTAAACCTTTGCCATGACTAGGAATAGTTGATAAATTTTGATTGTATTTTCTGCCTAAAGTCGCGTTAAATTCATTTCCGATTGAGCTGTGCTCTTTATTAAAGTAAAACATTAAGCTTATGATCGGTGTTTTTGATTATGACAGTGAATTACTAATAATTGTTTAACAAAAAAGTGCTGTTACCAACTTTCTTTGTCACATGCCCCTCGCGATGCTTAGTCAGTGTAATATTGAGCAAATGTAATTTTTGAATGAGCGCGGAAACAGGAAAATTATCATAAATATAATATGATTACAGTTCGCTTGTACTAGTTGATAGTGTTACGCTGCGCAGCAAGACTTTTACTACGCTGTTATCGCTTTGATAGCCTTCTTATCATTTCTAGTATAGAAACTGAACCTGGCAGTGAAAATAGTTCAGACGGAATGGAAAACATCACTGAGTAATATACCTTTATTGTACCGGTAGAGAAACAGGTCTTGCTTGCAATGGAACTGTAGCAGGTAACTTGACTATACCATCAGTCACAAATGTAACTCGTTCAAGTGAAGTGCGTCCGAAAACTATCGAACCTACCGGACGCTCAGTGAAAACAACTGCAAGTGCAGTACTAGCGGGTATAGTTGGCTCTTACATAGAGAATTTTTTATGACGTGTCAGACTTAATAGAAAGTAAAGAAACTTTATAACTGTTTCAATGCGATCTTTAATATACTTCCATTATGAGCAGTATATGTACCGCCTTTGTTTCATACGGCTTGTGTTGTAATGTTCATCTCCATATTGATGCCATCAGATACCTCATAATGACTAAGAGCACGTGACAAGATAAGATTCTAACTAACGTTGTTTCGATTTTGAATTTGACCCACAACTAATGTCACTATCGTGGCTTTCATTTAAAGCGATTTTTGGACATATTGTAGAATATACCAATTTCGTAGAAGGCGGAAATCGCAAACCTGTTATATTTTGCAATACTATTTCGAACAAATCCTTTAATTGAGACAACGACAATGCAGTTGGCTGAGGGTCGAATTCGATGATAAATGTGATTTCTCTCATTTGCGATGCCAAGATAGGATGGACCAGAGATGTGGCTCGCTTGAATAATACCCGGTAGACGTCAAGAATTACCGTGACCGTCAGTCATCAGAAGCTAAAATATTTTGTTCTTATTTTTGCTGAGCTTCTACGTTTATGTTTCTTTGCTTTAAAATGCAAGCAGTATCCGTTCACTGATCTTCGCAGCGATCTATTTTTTGCAGTGATTAATTTAAATCATAAATAGATTTAAAACGACTTTTTATTTGCATGATAATGTCATAGACTGAAATTGCACTTGCCTGTATCCCGCAATGCTGTCACTATTCCTGATTGTTCCTCTTTGCTTATTTATTTGCCTCTTAAAAATTTGCATTGTATTAGCGATCCGATACAATTTACTAGTGATTGTAATATAGAATCTACTTGACTCAGATTTGTTGGCAACTGATTTCTTCATTTCAAAGCAGGCTGCATGTGGATACGCTTTTGTACAGTTCTAATATAATTTCATTATTATGGCATTGCCACTACGATATTATTTTGATTTCATAAGCAACACTGCAAAATCAAAATATAAGATAGGATTTTCCCTGCAACTCGAACGTTCTAACAGAATTTTTTGAAATGTATGCGATACTATTTATTTCCTGTACACAAATTTCATTTTTTCTCTTGGACAGATAATTAGAGAGTACCGATAGCAACATACTTCAAACCTAGGTATCCGACTCTATATGGTCTTAGACGACATTGAGCTTCAAACATGGTTTTACTTTATACCGCTTTATTCTCGTTATCAAGCTCTGATAGCATGAGCGATTGTTTATCGTATGTGTTTGTCTCTGCTGAATATCATTTACATCGTAAACCTCAGTTCACGCATTAACAACCTTTCCAAATTCGCGCCTTAAAATAACCCTCGATAGCACGCTGTCCATTTGCGAGGTTGTTCTGTTTTAATTATTGCCGGTCTTTGCGTTTCCACTTCAACCGTCTCCAAGCGGGCAAGAAATTCTTGAGATTCTGCCGCAAAATAAAAATAAATCAGTTGAACAAATCAATCATTATCGGCTCTATTTTAGTAAATTAGTCTTGTCACTGCGCTTGCCGATGAAAGCGAAGTGATGCAACATTAGGTGACGCCGCTCACTACTTTCGCAAAAATCCAGCTAGAGCTGCGCCACTCGGATAACCGAGATGCTCTCTGCTAAGGAAATTATATCTGACTACATTTTAACCCCGACAGCTCGTTTCGTCAGCAAGTGTCCATTGGCTGCTGGCATTCGCTTAACATTTCATGATGAATTACGCAGAAAACAACAAAACAACACGGCTGGTTCACACGCGTTACTTTACGAACAATCGGTCATCAAATGCGTGTCCAAGGCCTTCTGTTTCGAACACTAGCCATTAATCAGCTTATTGGGAAACATACTTTCTTCTGAATAAGCTTTAAACAATCATTGAAAGTAACAAACAAACGAAACGATAAAGAATTTACTCTCTGAAAGTGATCCTTTCAAAATCAGACATCTGCCGCAGATGCGACAGATTTCGAAACGGATATCACAGGCCAGTATTACGTATCGTGTATACTACTCATCAGCAGGGGCAATTAACATGTGACGAACGTTGAAAAAGTAGGTTAATGACGCAGCGATAATCACGTGATAAAATCTCTTCATCTTCATCTTCCATCGCCGCTTCTCCTATCGGACAGCGGAGGCAGACCCGTCAGACAGTGCTTCCAACATTCCCGATCCTGCGCCAGTGTCTGAGCTTCGGCAAAAGACAAAAGGAGTCTGGAACGGACTCCTTCCATATATTTGCAACAGCCTAATCATCGCAGTCCACTGCGCCTTCTACCGGTCGGATTTGCAAGGAACAGTTGCTTGGCCTTCCTTTCTGGAGGCATTCGCAACACATGCCCAAGCC